CCGGTGGGTCATGGGGTGCTCCTTCTGCAGCTCCCTGTCCCATGCATGGGAGGGCTGGGGGTGGCAGGGCTGTGGGGGAGTTTAATGAATCCCCTAATCTCTTAATCCACTTCCTTGCCCATGAGATGGAATTGTTTTCTCCTTTTAGAGCGTGCTGCAGGGAGGAAACTGTGGAGAACCAGGATTTTACAGAGGAGATGGGGGTACCCAGGGTTGGCGGGTGGGATAGAGATGCTGAAACCCAGGCACTGGGGGCACTGGCTGCTGGTAACTGCCCTGTGTGATTTGCAGGATGGAGAGAGATGCCCAGTTCGCCCAGCGCAAGGCGGAGAGGGCCACGTTCAGGTCCCACTTCCGAGACAAGTACAGGCTCCCCAAGGTACGGCCGTGCCGGGCATGGAGCAGGGGACACGGGGAGCCAAGCCCCATCACAGCCTTCCTGGAGGCTTGGCTGGTGGGGCCACAGGGGGATTCTGCAGGAAGAGGAAGGGGCACCAGACCTCCTTGTCTGGGTGGGGTTTTAAGCTACAAAGCCCAAATGCAAATTAGTTCCCTTAAAATGCATCCTTCCACCCAAATCTCGGCCCCTTCCCATCACCCCTGAGCACCGCAAGCCACCAGCCCCAAGCAGTGGGACCCCTCACACACACACTCTGCCTCACTCAATTCCCCCCGCTTCCTCTCTTTTGTGCCCTAAATCCAGCTGGACAAGGGAAAGCTGCCCTCACTCCGGACTCCCAGCCCTTGTAGCCCACAGTGGAGCCGGCGTTACATCTTCCCGGTTGGATTAGCCAGCTCCGCTCCCCAGATTATTTGGCAAAGGTTTCCTAGCTAAACTCCTATTTTCGAATTTCTGTCCAATGTGTGATTCACTAGAAACAATTTCATCAAGGGATAATTCAGCTGTTCTTGGAATTGCCACAAGCTCTTCTCCCCCCAAACCCACCCTTTATTCAACAAGAGTCTCTCCGCAGTGAATACTCTAAATTGGAGCCCGGCTAATTTTAGTTCAGAAAGGTCAGCTAAGCCAAGTGATATTGTTCAGATTGTTTGATGTTGTTCAGCCAGCCTGGATGCACACCCCACTGCTTCTCACACCCCTTTTACTGCCAGGAAGTAAACAGCTGGAGAATTTATTTTTCCCCTGCCAAAAGCCAGAAGAGACAGAGATTTTTTTTTCTCCAGGGGAAACAGGGATTTGTTCAGATCTGGCCCCCCGATCCTTTTGCTGCTTTCTCATGCTTGAGATGTCCCTTCTAATCTTTTGACAAGTTTCTTCTGCTCATTACTGATCCCGCTTGGCAGCCGGGCTGCCTCTTGCAAAGTCTCCCTGTGGCTCTCCAGCACAGAGCTGACCCCCATCTCCGGTGGGCACGGTCGTTAAGCATACGTGTAGCTTTAATTGGGTGCCTAAACCTTCCCAACCACTCCAATGCGAGCTGGAAGCCAATTTGTACTGATGCTGGTACACTGGGGTTATCAGCTCAGCTCTTGTTGTGTGCCTGCACTCTCCTCAGCCGCTTCCCCTCTGGGTCAGCGTCCTACCCACAGCATGAGGATGACTGTGAGCCCCAGGGACCAACCCCCATGGTCCTTAAAATGGGAAGACAGCCCAGAGCCCGTGCAGACACAGCTGTGAACCTCACACGTGCCTGCAGTCCCTCCAGAAGACCCTCTTCCCACCAGCAGCATCCCACGCCTGACTTTCTCCTGGCCTCTTTCAGAACGAAACAGATGACAACCAGATCCAGCTGGTGGGAGGTGACGTGGAGCTGCCCAAAGAGCTGGCCAAGATGATCGAGCAGGACAACGAGGAGGAGGAGGAGAAGAACTCAGTTATCGGCCAGCTCAGCAACATCCAGAACCTGGACCTTGATTCCTTGAAAGACAAAGCTTCGGCCACGCTAGAGGACCTGAAGCAATCGGCTGAGAAATGCGCTGTGATGTGACCGGGCCCACCCCCCCTTCCCTGTTGACGTGATGGTGGAGAAGGGAGGGGACGCAGCGAAGGGTCTGGCGGTGGCTGTCACCTGCAGCAGGGACCCCACTGATGTTGTCACCCTTGCCTCGTGTGAGTCAGGTCCTCCTCCTGAGCCATGTGAAGCCTCAAGTCCCTGACCCAGATGCCCCTGATGTGTGGTTTTTGTTTTGTGCTCTGGTCTGAGGTTAGAGCAAACAAGCCAGCATGTCCCCCCACCCCCATACCCCAACACCTCCTCCTGTGCCCGTGGCAGTGGGTGTCTTTAGCGAGAGATGAGGGGGGGGGTGTGTGTCGCAGGGAAGGAAAGCCCCAAGTGACCTTGGAGTGATATTGAACCACATCAGCGCGGGAAGACAAAGGCTTCCCAGCAGAACCGTGGCCATACGCCGTGTCTCTGCCTACACATCTCGACCGAGCCTCTGAGAAATAACGGGGAGGCTCCAGTTTGCTTTGCAAGGACGAGGCACAATGAGAAATGCCCCCTGATCAAAGCGATAAGGGCAAAAACCTCCTTCTCTGTCGTGCTGTGGTTGTGTGCTGTGCCCAGTTGAGTGTCTCTCCACCTCCTGTGCTCTCCCCGTGCCATGGCACTGTTATAACCGGCAGAATAAATACCAGGAGATGTCTATGCATTTCTTTCTCTCCTCGAGAACTTGTTTCCTGATCGAGATGTCGGGGGTCCCCAAAGTATGAAGGGCGCGGAGAGGTCAAGCGCGTCCCCTTTACGGGGCGGGTGGGAGCAGTGGTGGGAGCTCGAGGGAGTAACCTCCTGAAGCAGCATCCAGAAGAAAACATCACACCTGGTTGTGGACGGGTGTTTTGCCACATTTTGTACGGAAGGGATGCTACGAACCACCCTTTGTCAGCAGCTGGGTTCTAAAAGCAACAACCACCCCATCTTTCACAGATTTCAGGCTATTTTAGTAAAAAGCCACTCACCAGCTCCCCACCTCAGTCTCATGGGCACTGCGGGATGTCCGCTGCTCCGAGCAAGGACACGTCTCTGTGGGGAGGAGACCGTGATAAGTACAGGTGTGAATCCAAGCTGGGGCAGCTCCAGCCTGCTGGGATCCTGGAGGGCAGTGGGCTTCTGCAGCGAGGCTTCCTGGAAAGAGCTGGACCATCTGGGAATTTACTGCCCCAAATCCCAACGGAGCAGATTAACCGCGATTTGCTTTTGCAAGGGCTTTGGGTCATCCAGGAAAATGCAGGGGAGGGTGCTGGGAACCTGTTGTTGTTATCATCATCATCGCAGCAAGGATGCAATGCCTGGGGCTGCTTGGGCTAAGCAAAGTTCCCTGGTAGTGCCAGGAGATTGCTCTCAGCCCCCCTGGGAATACTGTGCTGGGGCCAGGCAGTCCTGGGAAACTCCTGGTAGCCTCCAAAGTCAGGCTGCCTCACCTCTGAGAAGCAATTGGCCATCGCTTTGGCTGGCAGGACAGACAGACAGACAGAGGCAGCTCAGCCTCCTGGCTGCAGCTCAGGCGTCATGCTCTGCTCATGGGGACACACATCAGCACAAGCCTCCTGCCCCATGGACCAGGTTGCTCTCCAGCTCCGCAGGGACCCACCGGCAGCTCCAGGGACCTCTGCCCCGGGCAGAGCCCTAACTCAGTCCCACACAGTGCTGGAGGCTGGGGAGAAAGGAGAGGGAGGAGTGGCAGGAGCAGCTTTAGCTTTGAGAGATCATACCTGATGAGGATCAGCCCAAAAGCTCATCTAATCCCGCACCACGAAAGGGATAGCAGAGAGCAAGCACTGACCAAGCCCAGCCCCCCAGCCAGGCATGGCTTTTTAATCCCCAGTCAATGGCAAGGATTGATCCATAAAACATCCTGTGGGTGAGCAGGATCCCCACTGGAGCAGAGGGCGGGAGGTGGAGCTGAGGTATGCAGCCCTTCGGTTCCTCCCCACCCATAACCACTGTAGCCCGACCAGGACACAGCCTGGACTTTCTCCCCCACCTTTTACTTTACCCCCTTTCCCCACTCCCCCAGCCTTCGGCTCCGGTCCCGGCCCACGTGCCACCACGCAAAGGCCGCGTGAAGCTCGGCGGGTTTATTTTAGGAGGCACCATGACCCCCAGGCATGTGAAAAGCAAAGCAGCATGCGCTCTCCCGCTTGGCTCCGCGACGTGTTAAACCTCAGCAGAGTGTTGCCAGCAAAGCGTCGTGAGCTCCAAGGATGTTCTGAGCCCACAGCCCTGCTCCCATCACGGGGCCGGTGCCTGTACCAGGAGAGGAGAGTTTGGGATGGGGGGAGCAGTGGCAGGCAGCCCCCCTCCTCCTCATTGAGAGACACATCCTGTTTGCCCACTGCCGGGTTTCCAAGCATCCCTGCAGCTGACCGTCCCGGCTGCCTGCACGCCATACGACCGCTCCGGGCATCAACACACAGGCTAAAACACTTAGAGCAAGGAATTAGTGCGGATTAAAGCAGAAAATCTATTTTTTCCTCTTCTATACAATAAACCCCTATAGAATTCCCTAACCTATGGGGCCAGGTTGGGGTGGATTGGTCTGAGCAAGCCCTCACTAGCCCCCTTTCTGCTGCTGAGCGTGGGATGATGTGAGTGGTTTCCCCAACAGCCAAAGCATTAAATGAGCAATTGTTAAAACACCAAAAGAAACGAGCCGCCATGGAAGGATGGGGGATGTCCGCTCTTCTTTTTGCAGGCAATTAAATCTCCCTGCGAGCTGCTGCAGGAAGGGATGGCCCCATCCATCCCACTGCAGCGTCGCTGTGCTGCTGGTCCAGATATTGGGATTAATCCGGATTAAAGAGCACGGAGGAGAGCCTGGGTTTGGCTCCACACACTGACCCAGTTTTCCTCAAACCTCTTTCTTTAAAATTGTTTAAACTCCCATCACCAAGTAACCCACAAGGAGAGCAGTAAATCCATCCGTGTCCTCTCTGGGTGACAATCCGGACCCAAGACCCTCCCCATGAGCGATGTTCAGGTGGTTCCAGGTCGGAAGAACCCCTTGCAAGGGCTGGATGGCAGGAAGAGGCAGGACGGCTTCAGCACGCGTCCCCCCCAGGCTTTGCCGTGACACCGATGGGAGAAGGCGTCCGGAGCCATGCCGAGCGACAGAGGCCACTGCCGGCGCGGGGACTGCTCGCTTCGTGCCTCCTTCCCTCCAGCCTGCCCAGTGACATTTGGGCAGCGCCTTGCCAGCCCTGACGCAGAAGCAAATCGCAACTGCCCTGACGCGCAACCGGCACAACCCGAGCTCCATCGTCCCCAGGGAAGTGGCTGGGGGGTCTTCCACCGCCCAAAAG